CGCAGTAAACGCGCTTGGGGATCGGGGATGGAAGCCCTGCTTTCGAAGGTTACGTGCGGGGGACGGGTTGGCGGGGGCAGCCGCTGCGCGGACCTCGTTGCCGAGCGGAAGGTGCGTGTATGCGCCGCGCGTGAGTGCTGGAGGCAGAGGTCCCCGCGCACGCCCGCCGCGGATGCCCAGCGGTCCCCCGCGCAAACCCGGTGCCACACCTGTGCCAATGCCCCCGAGCCAGACCCAGGGTGACGTCTCAAGGTCGTGTTGCTCGGGGTATAAGGACCGATTCGGTGTGGGGAGAAGGACCTCTCTAAAGAATGAAACTCCCGGAATTCGCGGCCACGTGCCCGCTGGGTTGTTGTCGAGGTATTTCTTCTTCTTTTGCAGAAACAACCTGAGTTTTACTTCGAGTTTCCCTCCCCGCGCGCCTCGCCGCCGCCGCCGCCGCCGCCGCCACTGATCCCTTCCCCCTTAGAATTTCTGATTGATGGTAAAATAGGGGTACTCACCACCGTTGCCGGGCGGGGGGGAATCTGCAGCCCGTCCAGGTTCCAGCGCAAAGTTTTGTTTGTCCCTTTTAATTGCTTGGGGGCGGGGGGGGATAATAATCACGCGGGTGACACTTTTGGTAGTGGTGTGGAAAGCCCTGGTCTACAGCGAGGGATGTGCGCACACTTCTGCTTCTAAGACAAGGGGGAATCCCCTAACCCATCCCGGCTCACCCCTTTTTTTCAAAAGAGAGAAAGACAGACAGAGAGAGAGAGAGCGAGAGAGAGAGAGAGGACGCGTTCCCGGAAGCTAGCACGGTGCTTTGGCAAGTCCGGAGCAAAAGAGGACCAGGTTCGTTAACTGGCAATCCGGACGAATTAATCAGATTAAAAACGTACAGAAGTTTGAGGCTCGCTTTCCTCCACCACCCCCTTTCGCCTGCCTCGCCTTGCCTACGTATGCCCCAAGTTCCTTTCCCTTTAAGAGCAGCGTTTCTTTGAAAGTTGGATTTTTGACGCCGAGGAGAGTCTTACGCTAGGGGGCAGACGCATACTGTACTACTGGAGTCTTTCAGCCACTGCCCCCGCCGCAACACACACACACACACGCGCGCACACTTTCCCCTTCCCTTCCCTTCCCTTCCCTTGCCGCCCCCCCCCCATCTCTCTCTCTCTTCTAGCATATGTTCTAATTTAGTACTGTAAATTTTTCAGAGGGCTCGACTGTGACAGCCCCTGGTGATTTTCAAAGTACCACAAGCCAGTGGTTAAAAATTACATTGACTTGAAAGTTCAGAGTCGCACAATGCGGGCCGCTTTCTCCCATTCATGGCTCTTCGGATGAAGCTGGGGGCGCGCGGGGGAGACAGGCAGAACAACAACACGGAGAGCATTCAGCGAGTCTCCCTCGACTTAACCCAACGGCTTTCCCCCACTGATTTCACTGCCGTGGGTCCAAACTTGCGTTCAAAGAAGCCTGGAAAAACCGAGGGTTTTTACCAAAATCTGCCCCTTTGCCAGGGGGAAAAAAGGGAGAGCGGAAGGGGGTTAATAGCCTGTTTCTCTCTGCTTTGCTCTATTTTGTTTTCCCCTTAAAACATTTCTGCCTTCTTTTCATTTCAGTCTATTTTAAATCTCCCAGTGAATATACACCTGCCTGAGGAATGGGGAGGTGGGTAGGAATTATTAATGCCACCACCACGACCACCAAAACTTTCACAATGGATCACCACAAGGTCTAGAATTATCCCTCAATAATGGCAGTTATTGATGAATTGGGACGAGAATCGTCCTCTCCGAGAGATTCTGCATAACTATTCAATGTGTGTATCTATCTTTCTAAATAGATGGGTATACTCATATATACAAATAATCTTCTGCCAAAACTAACATCTCACCAGCCAAGTCAGCCAGTTATTCGCCAGTTCCTAATGTTAAAACATCCTTGCTTGCATCCTTTGGATAAATATACATACAAACATTTGGTGGCGCGAATTGAGTAATTTATGTTTTAATTGGTAGATTTGTTGCTTTCTCCTTTTATGATCGTAGTGGAAAACTATTAATATACAAGCGTTGTTACTCCCCCCCCACACACACACACACAAACACACCACTTTTAGGTAGTGTTTGTATTCGGCAGAAAGCTGAAAGAGAGATTGCTTCTGACGGTATGTTCTGAATGAGTTTGCTTAAAATAGGAAAGGAAGGAGAAAAGAATATTTGCCTGCATAGGGTTGCAATCACACCTAGTAAACTCTGCTTCTGTATAACTTGGGGGGGATCTTCATTTCATTCCTTTTTTTTTTTTTTCTTCAGGGGTGAATTATGGGAGGGGGTGTCAAGGTGCTAGTTCTCTGCAAAGCTAAAGGCCGGTGGTTTTCTTGTTCTCTGGAGCATACAAGGCATCTTCCACTGTTTACGTTTCTGATCAATAGAACATTCCACCGCTCGCTTTGAAACTGAGCATATGAAATGGACAATATTGCTGGGTTTCTCCATAGGGCCCGTGCCAAGCACCATTCCGGTTACAACTTTCTTTCCACCTGCAATCTTAATAGCAGACATTTATTTCTGCAGCAGAAAGGAGGGTAGGCGCGGGTTGATGTGGCAATATGAAGGAGCTGGGCTGTTGGAAAGGGTCGCTGCGAGTAATGAATTAGCAGTGGGTCTGAAATCTCCTTTCTCTCTTCTAATGTGTGTTTCCACATATACTATCCTGGTAGTTGCCTTCCATTTATTATGTTTTCGAGTCTGTTCGTGTGTGCGAGAGAAAGGTAGCCCATGTCCACCCAAACTGTGTTCCCAGCCTGTTTCTGCCCTGCGATGCGTTATTTGCTTGTCTGCCTCAGCCATGCATTTCATGAGAACAGTTCTGGGTAGAGGTCAGAGAACAGTGAATGCTTGGAGACGTGCTTCCCTCCATAGATAGGCGATGATTTGAATGTGTAACCTCAGCTATGACTATAAAATTAAATCAAGTTGCAGGGGTTGAGATGTACTTCATAATTCTTGGGTGGCGTGTGGGTCTTTACCCCCCCCCACACACACACACACACACTTCCTCTTAACATAAAGGAAATATGCGTTCTGAAAGGGGAGAGGAAGGAACTTTGCCATCCCAATATACCAAAAGGATGCAAATATGTTTTCTGTGTTTGATTAAATCCATCTTTTTCTTCCACGCTACGATCGCCTTGCTGCTCAGAAAGCATCTGGGTTAGATGTGTTTCCATTTGGGATGATAAGCAGCCAGCCAGACGTGTGAGTGTGTGTGTGTGTGGGGGGGGTTTGTATGCTAATTCTTCCCCATTTCTGTTTGGATCTTTGAGCAAAAGTAATAGGTTCTTGCCACGCCAGAGACTTCAGGAAACAATGAAATCTGTGGCGAAGTATTCTGAGGTCGAACACCATATCCTTTGATGCGTTTGTCCCTAGATCTTAAAGGGTGTCCATCAGGCAAGTAGTGCTCTCAGAGGATAGGCGAACGGGCACCCCTGCGCCTTGGCCGAGGGTTCAGCGTCCACTCGAAGAAGCCTGAGGCTTCCTAATCTAGAAGCAGAACTTATTCTCGTGTTAGAAATCCAGTTTTAACGGTCTCGCTCACACACGCCCCTGTCAAGAAGTGCCTGCAAATCAGATTTAATGTGCTCGCCACTGCTAGAACTGCCTGACAAGGTTGCTCGCGGGGGTCGCGTTTATTTTGGAAAGATCACTGGGGGTTTTGCAAGCTGGGCTCCGAACTGCATATCGGCGACCGGTGCAAAAGTTCGGCCCGCGAACCTGTAGAATTTTAATCCGAAGGAGGCGGCGTTGGTTTCGGTCAGAATCAGCACTGCAGCCGCCCTGACCGCGCAAAATATTGACCCCAGCCCCTGCGGGAAGCCCAGGCACCTAAAGACACCCCCGCCCGCCCGCCCGCGCTCGCTCGCCTCCGCACGGCAGAGGGTCTCGGCTGAGACGACCCCTTCTCCGATGCACACGGTCGCCCCGGCCCCCTGCAGCCTCGGCCCAAGGAGATGGGCAGAAAGGCTCGTCCTTCGCCCAGAGCTCAGGAGCGCCGCGGTCCCACGGTGACCCGTCCAGCAGCCGGGGCAGGCGAGGGTGCTCTCGGCCGCGGCTTCCCGCCGCCCGCGCGTGAATGCTCGCTCACACGCAACTTCTGCCCGGAAGCCCCAGCGCCACGCTTCGGAACTCGCCCGTTCGGGCGCGCGGCTGCCTCGCAAGCCGCCCGAGCGCCGCACCAGCGCGGCGCGAGCGGGCTGCCAGCGCCCCCTCCCCAGCGCGCTCCGGCCGCTCCGAGCCGCGAAGCCGGGCTGCAGCCAGCGCTGGGGCGCGCGGAGGGGGCGCGCCGGAGCGGCGGCGGGAGCAGGGCGGGCGGGCATCGGGCGCGCGCTAGGACCGGGCGGCCCTGCGCGGCTCCAGCCGTCCCCGCCGTGCACACGGTCGCGCCGCCCAATGAGGGGCGAGGGGAGGTCCGGGAGCTTTTGACCAGTCAAAGGCAGCCTCTTGCCTTATAAGGCGAGCGGTCGCCATGGCAACGTGTGCTAAGTTGCAGCCGTCGTGTCAAAGTTCACTATATAGAGAGCTGGGCGAGCTGCTCGCGGAGAAAGCGCTCGCCACTCCGCAGCCCGCGCCTATAAATCGCATGCACGCCGGCCCCCCCGCCCCTCCTCCTCCTCCTCCTCGGCGTATCTGATCACTGGGATCCTCGGGTCCCCCCCCCTTCTCTGGCCCCCTCTCCCTCCCTCTCCCTCCCTCCCTCCTTCTCTCTCTCTCTCTCTCTCTTCTTTTTGTCCCCCTCCCCCTTTACC